ATGAAATTCAATCCGTTTAACCCGTTAACGGATCATTTTTCTTTTGGTCATTCTATTCAGGGAAATTTACATAAATACAATCTGAATTTTTAGGCACGTACGTCATTACCACCTAAACTTTTAATTTTTATTTTTAACCATCTAAACTTTGTAAAGTGTTGTAATTCACAATCTACATCTAACTCCATTAAAGTTTCCGTTAAGTTTAAGGGCATTTCCACAATTAATTATAACTAAAAATAAATTTAAAATAAATAAATAAAGTTAACTTAATTATACGATACTTCTTCTATGCCTTATCAACGCCAATTGTCGCCCACCCTCTTCATATACATCATACTTCATATTGGTCTTTTTATCTTCCAATTACATGTCAATTTTCCTAGAAGATGCTAATAAATAATCCCCAAAAAGTAGCGGGACCCATCAACTCAAACTCTGCAACCCAAGATGGCACATAGGTTGATTGTTTAGAGCAACTCCAGAGGCATGACTGAGCCTTGGGCTGGGGGCAAAAAATGAGAAAATCTGTTTCCAGCGAGGAGCCCAAGCCCGGGCACAAGGTGGGACCCAGTAACTTGGGCTGGCTGATCGGTTCATAATTGTATATCATTGTGTACCATTCTAGTTTATGATTTGGTTATGTTTTTGAGTTAAACTTGTGCTTTTAATCATTTTTGTGTTTATCTTTCAGTTCATTGAGCTTTAGGTAACAATGATGGTTTTGGATAGGAAATGATGCAATCCATGCATGTTAAGGCCTGATTTGGGTGAATGGAAGAAGAGCTTAAAGACAAACTAATTTTGGGTACAAACCCTTGCCAGCACAGTTTCGTAGGTCAACTTCTTGGCCTTGGATCAGCATGCTCTGGGGCTCGGATGAGGTGAAGATATTCATGAAAGTTGTTCCAATGGGTGTGTACTATAACATATCCAAATTTCAGCCCAATTGAACATATCTGGAGTCCTTAGCCCGTCCAACACTGAACCCTGCTCAGGAGGATTTGCAGCTGCCAGCTTTTAGCCATGTGCCTCCTTTTAGCCATGTGCCTCACCCCAGCTATAACTGACTTTGTACCCAACATAATGAGTGAAATAGGGAGGCATTCCAGCTATGAAAGTCTAAAGGAGCAAATTGGTACATGCTGGAGCTATTAAAGAGAAGCATGTGCATGCATGTGAAGCAAAAAGAATGAAATGAAATGAAATGAAGTCAATTCCAGTCTTTGTTCGGCAGCTAACTTGCAAGGCCCAAAATGCATACTTCTACTGCTCCGATGGGAATACTTTCTTCATAGAGGTTGTTCCAATGGGTGTCTAGTATAACATATCCAAATTTGAGCCCCATTGGATACGTTTTGAAACCTCTGGCCTTCCTACACCAAGCCTGGTTCAGAAAAATCATTTCTTTTCAGCGACCAAAATAAAACCACATGGGTTGGTAGCAAAAAGCAGCCACAATTGAACACCTTTGAAAACCCATGTGAAGAAAGCTTCAAGAGCAGCAAAATAAGTATGGGATGGAATTGATTCCAACCACACTAACATAGACAAGATGAAGTGAGAGTTTTGAAGGAGGAATGGTGGTGTTGGATTTCATCATGTTGTTCCTCTCTCTTAGCCCTATAAATAGAGAAGCCTTCAAGCTTCAAATCACACCCCAAGGGGGGAGCTCTCAAACACTTCTCTTGAGCTCCCTTCCCTTCTCTCCCTCAAATTCTCTTAGTTTCCTTTCAAGTTGTCAATTGTTGTAACAAAATGATTTTACTAAATTTTTCTTCAAGTTTTCAAGTTCTACTTTAAAATGTACATTCTTTTTTAAGTATTCAAGTTTAATTAGTTTCCAAGTTTTAATTATGGTTTTTGTTCTTATTCATTATGCTTATAAGTTAAGATTCTAGTTTGAATGATTGATCACCATTTAGGCTCTTGCATGTTAGCTATCTTGGTTTGAATTAAGAGTAGACACTATGCTTTAATTCGAATTGAACTATGAATAGGAGGAGTATGTATGGACATTCGACAACAGGGATTAGATACATGCTTGGTTGTTTAAATTGTTCTTCTATGCTTAATGGGTTCCTAATGCTTAATTTTAGGTTAGACAACAAATGATCAAATTAGGGAATTAGGAACACAAGGTTAGGACCAAACACCATGGCTTAATCATACTTTAGCTAGAATCAATCCGTTAATCTAATTGAACTTGGGAACTTATCTACTTGAGTTATTTTCTTTTCTTTCTTTCTTGTTTTATTTATTTTCTTTCGTGTTTTTCTGTTTTGTGTAGGAAAACTGAATTGGATTATTCAATCACCAATCCCTGTGGAATCGACCTCGCACTTACATATGCTATACTACCGAACGGCTCGTGCACTTGCGAGTATCACAAGTTGAGGATGCAGCTGAATCCATTTTGGTGCAGCTGAATCGACGCAACACTGGCCCGAGGGCAAGGTTGGCCCGAGCTCCAGCCCTCGTTTTAGTGCTGACGTCAGTGCTACAGTACCGCTACAGTGCTACGTGCTACAGTGCCGCTAAAGTCCACGTATCGCGCTCTGGGCTCTCCGATCAGATTTTTTTCTCCAATCCAACGGCAGCCAATTTTTGTGCAATAAAAAAATTTAATGATTTTTTTTCTTCTATAAATGCCAAAAATCTATCTGATTGAGATATGAAATTTATAATAAATATTGACACATACGAACTCAAAAATTTTATCCGAAAATATTATCCAAATTAATTGTTTAGGTAAACAAATTTGTAAAAAAACAAAAAAATGAATAGTAATTGCCATTTGCCATGGCAACGGGTGAAAACACACAATAATATTTGCAAGGGCAACCACTATTCACGTGAATAGTGGCTGCCCTAGCTCCCCCCTTGCCATGGCAAGGGGCAAATGGGTGGAGTTGCTCTTATGGCCTACACTTTCCGACCCAACTTGACAACAAGGAGCCATCTGCTGTAGACCATCAAGAATTCAAGAAGACGAAGAGTTTGCAAAATGCATCCTTGTTAATCTGGTGACTGTAATTACTATGAAGTTATGAATCTTAAAAAATCATAGGAAACCAAAACTTACCTGAGGAAGTCTCTGGTTAACAAGGTGGTGTAATCCATTCTAATTAGGTTAAATTTCATTCATTTTTTTCCTTTTAAAAATAATTTTTAGATACAATTAATTGAAAAAAATGCATTTAAACTTAACGGAAACTTTAACGGAATTAGACATAGGTGATGGATTTCAACACTTTACAAAGTTTAGGTGGTTAAAAATAAAAAAATAAAAGTTCAGGTGGTAATGGCACATGTGACTAAAAATTCAGGTGCTATTTATTCAAATTTCCTTTCTATTTAAATTGAAAAAAAAAACTAATAAGTTAATCTTTACGAATTTACTAACTGATTAGCGTTTGGGTGCTTCTACAAAAAGTAAAAAAAAATTCAGAACATAACTACTTTATTTTAAAAGAATAAAAGCATAAAACAAATAGTTTATTAAAATACAAATAATTTAAAACAAATTGAAACAATATTTGTGTCCAATAAAAGTTTTCTCTAAATAAGGTTAAATAAAAAAATCTTATCGACAGATGCATAAATATAGATTTAGAAGTTTAATAGGATGAAGCATTTAGCAACGTCACTAATCCCTAGGCCGGATTTTACTTTGTACTTAGAAAAAAAAACTTCTAATATATTACCTGTTATCTATGTTTGTATAAACGTTTGGGGCCGAATTTTAACTTTCGGTCTATGTGTCGGCCCGATAGGACCTTGTGTAAGAAATTATATCGATAAATAATAAAAATTTGCAGAGACCATAAACTATATTTGCATACTTTATTTCATTATTTCAACAAAATAATCTTATGATTTAAGTGACGTTAGGATGGTGTAAGGATTTAATAGGTTCTAAGTTAAAATATCATCTAAAACATAATTTTCTTTTAACTAAATTAATGAGGGAGGCAATGGCTTGCACATAGATATGGAAGATCTTAGGCCACAAATCTTTTTTTAAGATTACGTTCTTATCTCTGCCTCTCACATTTGGGTTTCGGATAGTTTTGCTATCCTTTGTACTATTTTATGGTGCTTCTATTTTATAAAAGCATCTACTCCAACCAAAGAAAAAAGATATGGAAGATCTTTTAGGTAGGGTGTAGACTTAGTCTATTTGTTATAGGGCTAGCCCTACCTGACCCATACAATATTTAGGGCCATAATTGCCAGTAATTAAGTAGGTTTTGGATTCCATTATTAGGGTTGGGATGACCCTACTTAATCTCTTTTACAAGGGGTGCGGGAAAGTATCTCATTTGCTTACTCATATGAGAGAATTCCTAGTAATGGGCTTGAACTTTGGTGCTACCAAATAGCTCAAAATCTATATTATCCAAAAGCTTTTATGAGTTTTGTTAATCTCCGTAACCTTCCACACCATAACTCCTCTTATAAGTCTTGTGAATTTATGTGGTTTGGGCCCATTTGAGTTTGTTGAGTGGTTTGGTACGAAGGAAGCTGCTTGGCATTTCAAGGATCCATGCAGAATGTGTTTTTCATGCTTGGACAACATAACATCGATCAAAAGCTTGAATTGCACCAACTGGAAGCTTGCCTCTTTACTCTTGGTGAAAGAGTGGGCTTGAAAGCCATGAGCTTGATACGACTTTGTTCGCCACCTGGTAAATGAGAAGATTGCATTTGCTTTGCCATGTGTCGTGTTTTATACGTTGCACATGTTCGGGCCAAGCTTTTGTTATGGGCATGGGATTCGTTGGCCTTTGAGCAAGTTCGGCCTCTGAACCTTTTGGGCCTCAACACCATTGTAGACTCTGCGATGGATTGTGGCGGGATTACTGTGTGCTGCTAATAAAGGCATTCGTGCTAACGCTTTAGCAAATTTAGGACCATATTTGGCATTTGCGCTGGGGATTTTTTGTTTTAACTTCTTTTTTTGTCCTAATAATTACTTTGTGTGTGTCACAACTTGTGTATTAAATGCTCAAAGATTTTGGATTGGAGGCTTAATATCCGAGCAGGAAGGGAACAAAAAAAATGTAATTTGCCACTAAGACCCAAATTCGCCTCCCATATAAGATATAATAACTGAGACTGAAGCTCAGCAACAGTAATAAAGTTTACTCACAGAGTCACAGTCATAGTGACTCTTCTCCGACGTCGTTTAAAGTTCTCCGATACCCATTGAGTCCCGCCGGAGCTCTGAAGCCGGAAACATAACTGTGACTCTAATCCGATTAAGGTCTCTCTCTTTCTCTCTCTATGATCTATCGTACATAAATATAAACCCTAGATGTTGAAAATGAATTAGCGCCGTTTGGTTGCTGAGAAATGATGGGGAAGTAGGGTTCGGTTGATATATTCCGTTTTTTTTATTCGGCTTTTAAATTAGCTATGAATGAAGATTCTATTGTTGGAGGACAAAAGACAATGCAAAGAAATGTTTCTCTTCAATTGTGTGTAAAGGAAGTTGCAGAGTCTGTAAAAAAAATAAAAAAAGAAGAAGGAAAAAAGAGCCTAGGAACTAGCCTATTGTTACTGTGCATAAGTTCAACAACAGGGAATGTGAAATTTGGCACCAAAGGTAACTGGTAACTTGAAGGTTCAATAGAATTTGATATGTATTTGGTTTGTAATTTTCCTTATTTGTTTTTTTAGATTAAAATTTAATGTGTTGGGTAATATTTTTAAAAAATACTTAAAGGTTCAATGATTCATGTCTTTGTTTATTGAGATTGTGCATATTATTTAAGCAAAATTGTTCCATTGGCAGAAAAAAAGGCAGAATTGTTCTTCATAAATCTGTATGAATGAAGAATCATGGCCATACAAAATCTAACCCGTAAAGCACTTTCACAAAACTTTTATCAACAGGTTCAGGGTAAGCTTTCCTTGACATATATACCTCTGTCAGCTTGCTATGGCAGCCTCTGAAACTGCCCCGCCTCTGGATATCTTAGGTACTTAAATCATATATTTCATTCAGTATTAGTTAGTTAGCTATATCCTATATGTTTTTATCTGTCTCTCTTATTTTCTTTCACCTCTCTCCCAGTTCGAGGCCCGGAAGGGTTCTCGCTCTGGAATGGGCCCCCATTTAGCAATGGGCAACCTGGTATCAAGCTTGAAAACATTTCCTGCACAAGTACAAAATTCAGTGAAGATGGATCGAGGCTGATGGTGATGAAATCTGATTCAGTAATTAGCATATATGATTGCAGCAGCTACAGGGAGATCAGATCTTTTCAAATCCCCAATGTTGCTGCAGCTGCCTTGTCCCCACGTGGGACTTATGTGCAAACTTTTCAGAAATCATCAACACAGTACTGTGTGCTGCTAATAAAGGCATTCGTGCTAACGCTTTAGCAAATTTAGGACCATATTTGGCATTTGCGCTGGGGATTTTTTGTTTTAACTTCTTTTTTTGTCCTAATAATTACTTTGTGTGTGTCACAACTTGTGTATTAAATGCTCAAAGATTTTGGATTGGAGGCTTAATATCCGAGCAGGAAGGGAACAAAAAAAATGTAATTTGCCACTAAGACCCAAATTCGCCTCCCATATAAGATATAATAACTGAGACTGAAGCTCAGCAACAGTAATAAAGTTTACTCACAGAGTCACAGTCATAGTGACTCTTCTCCGACGTCGTTTAAAGTTCTCCGATACCCATTGAGTCCCGCCGGAGCTCTGAAGCCGGAAACATAACTGTGACTCTAATCCGATTAAGGTCTCTCTCTTTCTCTCTCTATGATCTATCGTACATAAATATAAACCCTAGATGTTGAAAATGAATTAGCGCCGTTTGGTTGCTGAGAAATGATGGGGAAGTAGGGTTCGGTTGATATATTCCGTTTTTTTTATTCGGCTTTTAAATTAGCTATGAATGAAGATTCTATTGTTGGAGGACAAAAGACAATGCAAAGAAATGTTTCTCTTCAATTGTGTGTAAAGGAAGTTGCAGAGTCTGTAAAAAAAATAAAAAAAGAAGAAGGAAAAAAGAGCCTAGGAACTAGCCTATTGTTACTGTGCATAAGTTCAACAACAGGGAATGTGAAATTTGGCACCAAAGGTAACTGGTAACTTGAAGGTTCAATAGAATTTGATATGTATTTGGTTTGTAATTTTCCTTATTTGTTTTTTTAGATTAAAATTTAATGTGTTGGGTAATATTTTTAAAAAATACTTAAAGGTTCAATGATTCATGTCTTTGTTTATTGAGATTGTGCATATTATTTAAGCAAAATTGTTCCATTGGCAGAAAAAAAGGCAGAATTGTTCTTCATAAATCTGTATGAATGAAGAATCATGGCCATACAAAATCTAACCCGTAAAGCACTTTCACAAAACTTTTATCAACAGGTTCAGGGTAAGCTTTCCTTGACATATATACCTCTGTCAGCTTGCTATGGCAGCCTCTGAAACTGCCCCGCCTCTGGATATCTTAGGTACTTAAATCATATATTTCATTCAGTATTAGTTAGTTAGCTATATCCTATATGTTTTTATCTGTCTCTCTTATTTTCTTTCACCTCTCTCCCAGTTCGAGGCCCGGAAGGGTTCTCGCTCTGGAATGGGCCCCCATTTAGCAATGGGCAACCTGGTATCAAGCTTGAAAACATTTCCTGCACAAGTACAAAATTCAGTGAAGATGGATCGAGGCTGATGGTGATGAAATCTGATTCAGTAATTAGCATATATGATTGCAGCAGCTACAGGGAGATCAGATCTTTTCAAATCCCCAATGTTGCTGCAGCTGCCTTGTCCCCACGTGGGACTTATGTGCAAACTTTTCAAAAATCATCAACACCACAAGAGAAGAATGTCATCTTATGGAACACCGAGACTGGTGATCCTGTTTATCAACAATTCCAAAAGAACATGACAAAAGCTACATGGTATGGCAACCATATTGTACAATGTCTTATATTTCATGTCTTGTTTGTTATGTGAAATGTATTTCGATTGTGAAATTCTATGCTCTTCAGGCCCTCAATTAGATTCAGCTCTGATGAAGCTGTTGTATGTCGACTGGCAACAAATGAGATACAATTTTTGGATGCTGGAGATTTCTCTAAACCATTTATATATCGGCTAAGAGTTCCTGGAGTGGCTGCATTTGAGCTTTCTAAGGCACCTGGCTCCCATGTGGCCGCATTTGTTCCAGAATCCAAGGTTTGTACGCATACCTTTGGTTAATAACTTGATTGTAGAGACTTCTTCATGAATGATATCTAGTCTGGGAATCGTGTGAACTTTAAAAGCAGTATTGGATTTATACTAAATATTGTTGGACCTTCTGAACTTCAACTCAAAGTATTCAACTCTTTTGGAGTTTCAAACATGGAAGGATGCAGTGTCAGGAAATTGTGAAACTATACATTGTTTTGGACTTGGCACATTGAATGGGTGGAATTTCATCCACTTAGTAGCAGATATAATCTCAACATTTTTGACAATGGGGCTGATTTTTCACATTATTATCTCATGCTAATTTTGTTCTTTCACTTTTTTGTTCATTTATCAAGTTCAATTTCTTTCTATTTAGGGGATTCCTGCCAGTGTCCAGATATTTTCTTGTGCAAAAGCTGTACAGAGTCAATCTCTTGCTCGACGGAGTTTCTTCCGATGTTCATCAGTGCAACTGAATTGGAATAATGGCTCAACCGGGCTTTTAGTTGTGGTGCAGTCAGATGTTGATAAAACCAATCAGAGTTACTATGGGGAATCAAAGCTCAACTACCTGACAACAGATGGGACCCATGAAGGACTTGTACCTCTTCGTATGTTCCAACTTCAATAGTAAATCAAAATTAACATTTAACTGCATGCAGCCTAATTATCCTTAGATATTTGGCAGGTAAAGAGGGGCCTGTTCATGATGTTCAGTGGTCATATTCTGGATCAGAATTTGCTGTAGTTTATGGCTGTATCCTTTTATTATGTTTTGAAGAGACAACTTAACAGGAGCAGTATATAAGACTCGGAATGTTTAGTGAATATTGTTTGTGATGAAATTAAGCTTACTCTTGACTGTATATCAAGAATCTTAGTACCACACACACACACACACACATATATATATATAGGCAGCTGCACTTGGGGACTCTAGTTATCAGAATATTGAGGTGATTTTCACTCCGGGGTTTAAATTATTTGGACAGGGAAATATTATCTGGAGATGCAAGTGATCTTTTAAGTAGGGGTCTCTATGGTCCATCCCCTTTTCTAAACATATTACATTCAACTTATATGGGTTCTTCAGAATCATTGTAAGAGTATTCGGGTCTGAATGCTAATTTCTATGTGCATCTTTTATATTAGGATTTTTTGTTTTTGTGATTTTCAGCTTATCATGTATATCCTTCCTGCAAATGTTCAGAATTTGTTCTTTTCCTTGAACTGTATTAGTTATGCCTTCAAAAGCGACCGTGTTTGACAAGAAGTGCAATCCTCTTCTTGAGCTTGGAATGGGTCCATACAATACTATCCGATGGAATCCAAAGGGAAAATGTATCCTTGAGAATTGCCACTTACTTCTTGAGAACATTAATTTTGTTTACTTGAAACGGCTAATTCATCTCCCTAATACTTCATAAGATGGCTCCTCTATTATTTTTGGTTTATCAAAATTATTTAGTGGGCATTATTTTTTTAATGGTGGTTGCCTTTAAAATCAAGTTCACATTTGTTATTTGGTAGCTTTGAGAAAGTTTAGTAACTTGTAGACATGCTGAAAAAAAATCAGTGAATGGAAGGGGGGCCAAAAGTGACTACCAACCTGGGAGCATAATGAAAATAAGTCTTGTGAATTTATGTGGTTTGGGCCCATTTGAGTTTGTTGAGTGGTTTGGTACGAAGGAAGCTGCTTGGCATTTCAAGGATCCATGCAGAATGTGTTTTTCATGCTTGGACAACATAACATCGATCAAAAGCTTGAATTGCACCAACTGGAAGCTTGCCTCTTTACTCTTGGTGAAAGAGTGGGCTTGAAAGCCATGAGCTTGATACGACTTTGTTCGCCACCTGGTAAATGAGAAGATTGCATTTGCTTTGCCATGTGTCGTGTTTTATACGTTGCACATGTTCGGGCCAAGCTTTTGTTATGGGCATGGGATTCGTTGGCCTTTGAGCAAGTTCGGCCTCTGAACCTTTTGGGCCTCAACACCATTGTAGACTCTGCGATGGATTGTGGCGGGATTACTGTGTGCTGCTAATAAAGGCATTCGTGCTAACGCTTTAGCAAATTTAGGACCATATTTGGCATTTGCGCTGGGGATTTTTTGTTTTAACTTCTTTTTTTGTCCTAATAATTACTTTGTGTGTGTCACAACTTGTGTATTAAATGCTCAAAGATTTTGGATTGGAGGCTTAATATCCGAGCAGGAAGGGAACAAAAAAAATGTAATTTGCCACTAAGACCCAAATTCGCCTCCCATATAAGATATAATAACTGAGACTGAAGCTCAGCAACAGTAATAAAGTTTACTCACAGAGTCACAGTCATAGTGACTCTTCTCCGACGTCGTTTAAAGTTCTCCGATACCCATTGAGTCCCGCCGGAGCTCTGAAGCCGGAAACATAACTGTGACTCTAATCCGATTAAGGTCTCTCTCTTTCTCTCTCTATGATCTATCGTACATAAATATAAACCCTAGATGTTGAAAATGAATTAGCGCCGTTTGGTTGCTGAGAAATGATGGGGAAGTAGGGTTCGGTTGATATATTCCGTTTTTTTTATTCGGCTTTTAAATTAGCTATGAATGAAGATTCTATTGTTGGAGGACAAAAGACAATGCAAAGAAATGTTTCTCTTCAATTGTGTGTAAAGGAAGTTGCAGAGTCTGTAAAAAAAATAAAAAAAGAAGAAGGAAAAAAGAGCCTAGGAACTAGCCTATTGTTACTGTGCATAAGTTCAACAACAGGGAATGTGAAATTTGGCACCAAAGGTAACTGGTAACTTGAAGGTTCAATAGAATTTGATATGTATTTGGTTTGTAATTTTCCTTATTTGTTTTTTTAGATTAAAATTTAATGTGTTGGGTAATATTTTTAAAAAATACTTAAAGGTTCAATGATTCATGTCTTTGTTTATTGAGATTGTGCATATTATTTAAGCAAAATTGTTCCATTGGCAGAAAAAAAGGCAGAATTGTTCTTCATAAATCTGTATGAATGAAGAATCATGGCCATACAAAATCTAACCCGTAAAGCACTTTCACAAAACTTTTATCAACAGGTTCAGGGTAAGCTTTCCTTGACATATATACCTCTGTCAGCTTGCTATGTCAGCCTCTGAAACTGCCCCGCCTCTGGATATCTTAGGTACTTAAATCATATATTTCATTCAGTATTAGTTAGTTAGCTATATCCTATATGTTTTTATCTGTCTCTCTTATTTTCTTTCACCTCTCTCCCAGTTCGAGGCCCGGAAGGGTTCTCGCTCTGGAATGGGCCCCCATTTAGCAATGGGCAACCTGGTATCAAGCTTGAAAACATTTCCTGCACAAGTACAAAATTCAGTGAAGATGGATCGAGGCTGATGGTGATGAAATCTGATTCAGTAATTAGCATATATGATTGCAGCAGCTACAGGGAGATCAGATCTTTTCAAATCCCCAATGTTGCTGCAGCTGCCTTGTCCCCACGTGGGACTTATGTGCAAACTTTTCAGAAATCATCAACACAGAAATCATCAACACCACAAGAGAAGAATGTCATCTTATGGAACACCGAGACTGGTGATCCTGTTTATCAACAATTCCAAAAGAACATGACAAAAGCTACATGGTATGGCAACCATATTGTACAATGTCTTATATTTCATGTCTTGTTTGTTATGTGAAATGTATTTCGATTGTGAAATTCTATGCTCTTCAGGCCCTCAATTAGATTCAGCTCTGATGAAGCTGTTGTATGTCGACTGGCAACAAATGAGATACAATTTTTGGATGCTGGAGATTTCTCTAAACCATTTATATATCGGCTAAGAGTTCCTGGAGTGGCTGCATTTGAGCTTTCTAAGGCACCTGGCTCCCATGTGGCCGCATTTGTTCCAGAATCCAAGGTTTGTACGCATACCTTTGGTTAATAACTTGATTGTAGAGACTTCTTCATGAATGATATCTAGTCTGGGAATCGTGTGAACTTTAAAAGCAGTATTGGATTTATACTAAATATTGTTGGACCTTCTGAACTTCAACTCAAAGTATTCAACTCTTTTGGAGTTTCAAACATGGAAGGATGCAGTGTCAGGAAATTGTGAAACTATACATTGTTTTGGACTTGGCACATTGAATGGGTGGAATTTCATCCACTTAGTAGCAGATATAATCTCAACATTTTTGACAATGGGGCTGATTTTTCACATTATTATCTCATGCTAATTTTGTTCTTTCACTTTTTTGTTCATTTATCAAGTTCAATTTCTTTCTATTTAGGGGATTCCTGCCAGTGTCCAGATATTTTCTTGTGCAAAAGCTGTACAGAGTCAATCTCTTGCGCGACGGAGTTTCTTCCGATGTTCATCAGTGCAACTGAATTGGAATAATGGCTCAACCGGGCTTTTAGTTGTGGTGCAGTCAGATGTTGATAAAACCAATCAGAGTTACTATGGGGAATCAAAGCTCAACTACCTGACAACAGATGGGACCCATGAAGGACTTGTACCTCTTCGTATGTTCCAACTTCAATAGTAAATCAAAATTAACATTTAACTGCATGCAGCCTAATTATCCTTAGATATTTGGCAGGTAAAGAGGGGCCTGTTCATGATGTTCAGTGGTCATATTCTGGATCAGAATTTGCTGTAGTTTATGGCTGTATCCTTTTATTATGTTTTGAAGAGACAACTTAACAGGAGCAGTATATAAGACTCGGAATGTTTAGTGAATATTGTTTGTGATGAAATTAAGCTTACTCTTGACTGTATATCAAGAATCTTAGTACCACACACACACACACACACATATATATATATAGGCAGCTGCACTTGGGGACTCTAGTTATCAGAATATTGAGGTGATTTTCACTCCGGGGTTTAAATTATTTGGACAGGGAAATATTATCTGGAGATGCAAGTGATCTTTTAAGTAGGGGTCTCTATGGTCCATCCCCCTTTCTAAACATATTACATTCAACTTATATGGGTTCTTCAGAATCATTGTAAGAGTATTCGGGTCTGAATGCTAATTTCTATGTGCATCTTTTATATTAGGATTTTTTGTTTTTGTGATTTTCAGCTTATCATGTATATCCTTCCTGCAAATGTTCAGAATTTGTTCTTTTCCTTGAACTGTATTAGTTATGCCTTCAAAAGCGACCGTGTTTGACAAGAAGTGCAATCCTCTTCTTGAGCTTGGAATGGGTCCATACAATACTATCCGATGGAATCCAAAGGGAAAATGTATCCTTGAGAATTGCCACTTACTTCTTGAGAACATTAATTTTGTTTACTTGAAACGGCTAATTCATCTCCCTAATACTTCATAAGATGGCTCCTCTATTATTTTTGGTTTATCAAAATTATTTAGTGGGCATTATTTTTTTAATGGTGGTTGCCTTTAAAATCAAGTTCACATTTGTTATTTGGTAGCTTTGAGAAAGTTTAGTAACTTGTAGACATGCTGAAAAAAAATCAGTGAATGGAAGGGGGGCCAAAAGTGACTACCAACCTGGGAGCATAATGAAACATAATATAATATAATATGTTATAAAAAATATAATACTTATTTATTTCTTAGAGAAGACAAAAAGATCTATATATATATATTGTGGCCTTAATTATCTGGTTTGCAGTTCTGTGTTTGGCAGGCTTTGGTAACTTACCTGGTGATATGGTATGTTATTAATTTAGTTTAGATGTGTACATTTTCTTCTCTGGTCTATTTTCTGTATGGCCATTATTTTGTCCTCAATCATATAACATTATCTCATGTTATTTTTACTGGTTTTCACATACGCATGCACTTTGATGATGAATACCTTTATTCTGGCTTGCAAAAGATGATAAAGATCATATATGTGCATTATGATTTCTAAAGTCAATTTTTCATTTTTTATTTATTACCATTTAGGCATTTTGGGATTATGTGGAGAAAAAACAGCTTGGGACAACTAGGGCTGAATTGTCTGTGACAAGCGAATGGTCTCCAGATGGATGCTATTTCATGACTGCGACAACTGCACCAAGACTTCAAGTTGACAATGGGTATGTTAACATTTGGTAGTGCACTTCATTTGGGTATATTATGGAATGTTTCCGGGTTAACAAAAGGGTCAAGTATATGGTAGTGCACTTCATTGAACTAATAAGTGCACTAGAGCTATACTTACCATGTGCCTATCTAGAATTTCTTTGTCATTTGTGGCCTTTGAAAAAGAAATGGTTATCAATCTTCCAAATGATTTTGTTTATTGAACCTTCATCATGAGAGCAGTTTATTCTATCCATGGGCACAAAATTTGTTCATCTTCGTGTTATAGACTATTCACACTTTTATATTGATTTTAACTGTTCATTTAAAAAGGTGCAAGGACACTCTGAGCATATTTACTCAGCTCTTGCATATTATGTTGGTGTGTGTGCACATTCTTTCATATGGGATGGATTGGATACATAGTCTGATGGTCTGGTTCAAAGAAGTTTATTCACCAGTAAACCACTTCATGTTTCTTTTCTCTCTGTAATGAAGGATTAAGATTTTCCACCACAACGGGTCATTATTCTTCAAGAAGATGTTTGACAAGTTGTACCAGGTCAGTGTTGATGGTGCAACCGTCTTTAAACTGCCTAAAAACAAATCTTTACATTATTCACATCTCCTAATTTGGTTTCTTTCCTGGCCCCAACTATTTGTTCAGGCTGATTGGAAACCAGAGTCACCAGATAGGTTTGGTGACATTGCCGAACTTGTCAAGTCCATAGGATCGTTAAACGTTGTCGAAACGAAACCTCAAGGTTGCTCTCGTTTAGAATTTTCAAGTGCAGTTGACTGTGGATTTGGATTTTAGACGTATATTTTTTTGGTTCACTGAAGAACTTGGATAATTTTTCAGGAGACAGGTCCAAAATTTCTCAGACCTCTGCAAAAGCTAGCGCTAGCAACCCTCCTGCCCAAAAGCCTGCTGCTTATCAGCCCCCACATGCTAAGAGTGCTGCTGCTGTTCAGGCTCAGGTATACAGGATATATGTTGGTTTCATTTTTTTAGTTGGTTCTTCAAATTCATGGATGAGTTCATCGTACAGATACTATTGACAATCATTTTTGGAAAACCTTTTACTAATTTGTATTGGAATGAAACAATTGCTTGATGTGATGCTGATGGTTTCAATGACTTTGTAATGGCAGCTGTTTGGAGAGAGCTCTACAGAGTAAGTACATGCCTATTTTGTTTGTTTCCTCTTTACATTAGGCTCTGATTTTTTTTACAGTTTATTCTTACAAATGCCTGTCCGTATTAATTAATGAAGGACGGTGAGCAAGAATGCATTGAAAAACAAGAAGAAAAGGGAGAAGCAAAGGGAGAAAAAGGCTGCTGAGGCTACCAGTGGTACTTGATTCGAAGCAGGGTTTCTGACTGAGTGATTCCTTTATACCTAGAGGTTGATTTCTAGGCTTGAGGGGTGGATTTTACAATTACCATCCTTACTCAGATCTGAGTGTAGATTTGTTCCTTAAGCGGGATTTTTTGTTTGTTCTCTGAAAAAATTTGAGCTCGGCATAGTAATATCTCCAATATGAGCATATGTTTTGTTAAAATGGGAGATGAAATAAAAATGATGACAGGAGCTGGTCTCTGTTTTACTTAATGTAACATTATGATGGTATGATTGAAAATGATAATGATATTAAAGTTCGAGAATTGTTTTTTTATTTATGTATATTGTGCGTACCATGTTGAAAGTACAGAAGATTATATGTTGATATGCCTAGATTTAATTCTTTTGCAATGTTCACTTGCCAAACCATGTTGACAAATACCAAAAATTGCATATTATTATCCGGCCGTCGAATGGTAGAAACCCTCTCTAGCTTAAAGATTGTTTTGCTGTATGGTAGCCAGAAACACATTCCACAGTAACCATTCCTTGCTTAAAATTCAGAAATACGTTTCTATTTATAATTTTTTATTTATAAAAAGGTCTAACATTATGATGGTATGATTGAAAATGATAATGATATTAAAGTTCGAGAATTGTTTTTTTATTTATGTATATTGTGCGTACATTAGTTCATTGAAAAAAAACAGAAGATTATATGTTGATATGCCTAGATTTAATTCTTTTGCAATGCTCACTTGCCAAACCATGTTGAAAAGACAAAAAACTGCATATTATTATCCGGCCGTCGAATGGTAGAAACCCTCTCTAGCTTTAAGATTGTTTTGCTGTATGGTAACCAGAAACACATTCCACAGTAACCATTCCTTGCTTAAAATTCAGAAATACGTTTCTATTTATAATTTTTTTTTATAAAAAGGTCAGAAATAACACATTCCCAACTTTTTGGTTTTTGTTTTGTTGTAAATAGCCAAGTCTTATTCTTCGATGGTTTCCATTTGCCAGGTCATCATATCGGGGTTGTTATCAAGGATGAAAATATTGGTCGTGCAGAGAGCATCAATTTTGGTTTTATAGTATGCCTCTGAAATCTAACATATCGGCGTATCGGCTGATATTTTGGGCCATCATTGTTATAAATGTCATTTTTACAAAATAATATCACATGAAGGTGAAATATTTGATCCCAAAAAATACAAACAAAAACAAAGAAAGCCACATTCTCATAGAGCACTGGTTGAACTGAAATCTTCATTGAGGTTATATTATTTGACCAGGAACATCATACCATATTCAGAATCAAGCAATTGATAAAGCACAAAACTGAAAACCAATTTGAACAATAGTCTTCAAACTAGGAGCTAATAGTATGCCTCTGAAATCTAACATATCGGCGTATCGGCTGATATTTTTGTCCATCATTGTTATAAATGTCATTTTTACAAAATAATATCACATGAAGGTGAAATATTTGATTCCAAAAAATACAAACAAAAACAAAGAAAGTCACATTCTCATAGAGCACTGGTTGAACTGAAATCTTCATGAGGTTATATTATTTGACCAGGAACATCATACCATATTTCGAATCAAGCAATTGATAAAGCACAAAACTGAAAACCAATTTGAACAATAATCTTCAAACTAGGAGCTAAGATTACATCAGACTCGTTGGGATTGTTTCGCGTGCCTCAAAATTTCACGTCTGTTGTCCAGGTACCTTGCACGCTAGGATGTTTGGTTACATGTCTAGTCTTCAGTTTCACCACTTTTCTCCCCAGTGAATTTCTTAGCCTGGTTGCATATTGAAGAACCTCTTCTGGATCCATATTCTTCACACATACCACCCTCTCACTTTTGTTCTCTGTGCATTGACAAAGGAAACTCTTACAAAAGAATTTCAAAGCCTCAAGCTACTCACAAGAGTGCAACTATTTGTATGAGAGAGACTCTTACTTTTGTTCAATGTGCATTGACAAAGGAAACTCTTACAAAAGAATTTCAAAGCCTCGTGCTACTCACAAGAGTGTAACTATTTGTAAGAGAGAGAGGTGTCTTACTGTAAAAGCCCTTCAAATGTGGATGCTGACCCCGGATGAGTTCAGTAACCACCTCCAGCTGAGGATTCTTCTCTTTAAATACTGGTAAATATGACTCCATAAATGACCTACCATGTCAAAGGTTAAATTTATTAAAATTCGAAAATGAAAGTGCTAAAATTTGAAGTTCTAATATTTACCCCTGAAATACCATGTACTGTATTTTATTATGCAGGACAGCGCTATATAACACTATCCAGCTCCTTAGTCCAGCACCATACCTAACACAGCCAGGACTAAGTCCAAGCCAATCCTATCCAGCACAGTTCATAAAAATAGTCCAGTCCAATCCAATCCAATCTGGGCTAACAAACCCCACCATAGATTATTCCCTAAGGATAGGATTAGAAATAAATGAACCAGAAAGTGCAATCCAATCAAAATATCACAACAATACCAAAAGAGAAATTTCAGACATATACAGATACATTAAGCTTTAATAAAACACTATAGGCTTAAAGCTTATAATGATGCTCCTCCTCCAGTAACTGAACCACCAATGCATTATCAACTTCGCTTCAGTTCTACTAAAGAAGAAAGGGCAAGCATGAGCAAGCCTACTTTTACTCAATTAAGCTCCAACCTAACATGTAATGCAAAATACCAAAGCAATTCCTAACATATAAGACCCAATCTGTTAACCCCAGCCTCATTCCTAAGTCATCTCCTAAAAGTGCAGAGAATTAAGCTAAGTTACAAAGTCTAAGCCCTACGGTCCAATTTCAAACTGCATCTAGAGTGGCATTCCTTGCCTATACTTCAATCATTGAGAGTAATTACCATGCAAATATATATTATGATGAAAACAAAAGCCCAAAAGCAAAAAGAAATAATCTTGCTATATCAAATTGCATCTAACAAAAACAAGTGGGCAAATTCATCATGAATACTATGGTTTGTTTTTTTATACATAACAACATTCAAGCAAATGATCTTGCGGTAAATTATAACTGTATCTTTCAAGCGACAGTTCCACTAGGAAGTGTCAATCAATATTTTAAAACAACAATAAAAGTTTTATCCTTACATTTAAAACATTTATTTCCTTTATGAAATCAGATTATCTAACTTGACAAAATACTCCTGCAATGCACGGTTTACAAATACTGGTGATTTGAGCAATCTACCTGATTCCCCTACTGCTTCCTCCCCAATCAGAAAAGCTCACAATCAGCTTTTGCAATTGCCACGCACCTCTCAAAGCCATCTGACAATAGCAAATTAATATATCTATGAGAAATTTTACAAGATACAATGAATAGAAATTTTGTTAAAGCTATGCAACATTCTTATGAAGCATAAAAAATACATCAAACCTCTTATAAAATGCACTCATACAGCATCCATTTCAGCCATAATGATATAAAATGCACTCAAGAATTTATCATTTTGATGAACGCCTAAAATTTTAAATAAAAAGGAAAAAACTGGAAAAAAAAAATAAAGAAGTATCTCGTCGAGCAGCAGAGAAGAAGAAGAAAGCTGGAGTCGCTGGACCTGGTGGTTGGTGCTGCGCGCGGTGTTCCTTCGGGAAGAAGGTTAGGTTGGGTTGGATTTATCTTTCTTCTTCCTCTTCTTCTTTTTTCTTATTTCTTTTCCTTCTGCCGCAGAAACCAAAGTATCAATCGTCTTGTTCTCATAAAGTTCAATGTTCTGTTCACATAATATAAATAATTCTACAAAATTGAGATAAATAAAATCTTACAGTATAAGGAAGAAAGACCGATGATGCTTTGAAAAACGAAGATGGATTTGCTTTGAAGAAATGATGCTTCTCACTCCTTGCGGCTGGAGTTCCAGAGAAAGGGTGAGGGCTTTAAATTTCAATCTTTCTATTTTGTATGCTTTTGCAAAAATTAATATTATATTAACTTACCTACAACATGTGTATAAATACCAATTGAAATCAACGATAACTAAAACTTGATTGCAGCACAGTTGGAATTTCCGTTATTTTTTTTCTTTCTAAAAGTGAGGTAGGGGTTCGACTCCCCTGCCCAGCAATCAATTTCTCTCATTTTTTCCAGATTTATTCGTGTAAAATTACAAAAATATCCCTACTCTTAACCAGATTTGCGAATGACATTGACACGATCCGGTGGGTAACGGGTCAACTTGTTATCAACACGACCCAATAACTTGGGACTCAAATACTTAACTTTTTGTACGAATTCGTGTCGTATTAACGAATTGTGTACAATATTGTCAGATCTAATATAATATATATAAAACAAAATAAGGTTTATTATTTTGCAATACAACTTACAAGTAATACACATATCTCTTATCCAGACATCTGGATTGTTTAGTGTGCGGATTCCAATGTTTGCAGCTGTGTTTCATTGTAAAAAATGATTTGAAGATATATACTTCTACAGAACCGACTGGATATTTTTATGTAGCAGTGTAGTGGCTTGATTTGGCAGCAAATATAAGAAGAGAAAACTGAAGAAACATTGAGGTCCGCATGCTAAACAATCCGAACATCCAGATAAGAGAAAGACTATATATATATATATATATTCATAGTCATAGGTGATATTTCTTTCGAAAGAAAGGGGTTGTATAGTATCACAATGTCATGTAAGTAATTTGCAAAACGCCTAGCCTTTCTGTTTGGTTTATGGGAAAGGAGACTTGAGGATGAGAAATCAATTGCTTTCCCATTTTTGGTAAGTCCATGTATGAGAAATCGTTGCCTGGCCCATGGGAAAGTAGGGGGGAAGTGGAGCCATCCTCTCAATTTGGGTTTTGTTTTCCCTCATCATGGGTAGACCTGTCAATATTACACACGACCCTTTAACAAGACATAAATTCGCACGAAATTATCAGTATTTGAGTTGAGCTTAATGGGTTGAGTTGAAAATGGGTGAACTCGTTAGCCACCCATTAAGCTAACGGGTCGTGTCGGGTCAATTCGCGAATATTTACATCCACCCGTTAAGAAGGGTAATTTTGTAATTTTACAAAATGTTTTTAAAAAAAATATCTCAATTCCTAAAACCAAACATGTGTTTTTTTTTCTTCTATCATTTTTCATCTCTTCATCTCTTCCATTCTCTTTTTTAATATTATTTTTCCATCAACCCATTCTCTCTCCGTCACTCTCACTTTTTTTCTTCTTCTTTTCCCTTCTCTCCATCTCTCTTTTTTTTCTTTTCTTCCCTTTTCTTCTTCCTCTTTCCATCATTCTCTCTCTCTCCCCTTTTTTTATTCTACTCTTCTTTCCACTCAACAGACTCAACCCAGCCAAGAGAAGACTGTGGTGAAACGGAGACCTCCATCACGGTGACGTCACCTGAGATTTTAGATTTCATCATGTAGTTCCACATCTCTCTCGACCTAGACCTTTATCTCTCAGTCAATTTTCTTTATTCCTCTGTTTTTGCTGTTGTTGTTGGGTTTTAAGGTTGGATTGAGAGAGAGAGAGAGAGGACCAATTTTGTAAGACATCTGTGAGAGAGAAAAGTTTTTTGTTTGGGGGGGGGAGGGGAGACTGAAATGAAGAGGGAAAGAGGGAAGAGTTAGGGTTGGGGGTTTGGGGAAAGAAGAGTTAGCGTTGGGCGATAGTTTTTTTTTTTTTTCCTGTTTGTTCTTAACGGGTCGTGTGGGTTTTTTGCGAATTATAATGGGTCGTGTTTGGGTATGATATTTTTCACCCGTTAGGTTAATGGGTCGTGTCGTGTCAACCCGATAATTTAATGGGTTAACACGAACACGACCCGAAACTCGTTAAAACGACCCGTTTGACAGGTCTAATCATGGGAAAGTTTGGGAAAATGAGCCAATATTAAATAAACATTTTTCATAAGCATTTTGTCTCCATTAACAATTTAGAATTACAATATATCATTAAATGCATTCTTTTTTTATTTGATTTAATATGGGTATAATAGAAAATTTATATAAACTTTGTTTTTCATTCTTACTCAAAACAAACATGAGAAATGAAATGAAGTGATATCTCCCGGTTGCTTTTCCAGTATTACCAAACGTAGGAAATGAATCTTCTATTTCTCATCCCTTGGGACATGACATAGGAAATAATTTCCCCTCAAATTCGTTCCGTGAACCAAACGGGACCTAAAAGCATCAAGGCCACATTGGCAACTACTAGTTACACTGTCAACTCCATTTGTGTCCCTAACGTGCTTTGATTCCTTGACGCTATGTGCGCAACCAAGCAATCGGTGGTTTACAGTTTCCTTACTTCATTCAAAACCAATGGCTCAAGAACCCCATCTCAAGTCCTGAAGAAATACCAACACTCCAATTTCCCTGTCAATTGTGTAGTTTACGATTCGTTTTTGCCACGGGCCCTTGCCCTTAATGTGGCCAAGAGACACGGCATATATGGAGCTTCATTCTTTACCAATTCGGCCATGGTGTGCAGCATATCTTCCATTTGAGTTGGAAGACATGCCCTTGTTGGTTCCTGGCCTGCCTCCACTCAACTTTCCTGACCTGCCTACTTTTCTTAAGAAGCCAGATGGCCACCCAGCACTGAACCAGATCCTGATGCGGACGAGGCTGATTGGTTCTTTGTAAACACATTCGGGGTACTAGAACTCCAGGTATGACGAATGCTAATCTGGATTAATTTTATTTCTCGTCGAACGTCGAATAGTTTCACATGTTATATGTTGTCATACTATCAATCTTGGCATTAAACAATTACATATGCTGGACATTTGGCGTTTATCATTCCATTTTAACCCCTGCCTATGATATTCTTGCAAAACAAACTTCTTCCAAAGAGTTCAAATCTTGAATAAAAATTTCTTCCACTACATTTTAAAATTATATGACTATCAAAATTGTGACACAATAAGTTCGTAAAACACTCCTAATGATCCAACAAGAAGACGTATTGGGAGGGTCAAAAATGAAGCAATAACGGGTAACAACAAATTAGTTCTTGAATCTGATGCTCCTGCTGATTCCTGCATTGATTCCAGAGGTCTCCCCGCCGTAGGGACCAATAGGCTTCTTGACTTCTCTTACCTGTCCTTTTCTACGCTCTTGTGCTTTCTGGTGCTTCAACTGCGCAGAGAGATAGAGAGAGAATTGAGTTAACAGAAAACACTTAGTAGCCTGCAACATCAAATGTGCTAACTATTTGATCAAAATACCTTGTACTTCTTTCTTGGATTCTTGATCAGCTTCTTGCGAGCACGAGTAAGTCCTCTGTTCTTCTCCATCTGGAGTAAATTTGGAGGAAGAGAAAATAATATGGTGAGACAAGAAATAATGGTAAATCTTAAATAACCGATCATACGAGCAAAGTTGAAATTGGCTCATATTTACCTGATAAGTAATGTGGCGTTTCCCATCGACAGATTCAGTTTCGACCAAAGATGGAACTGTAGAGGACCTGCAGACGCAAAGAAACTTTAGCAAAAACAAATTACCAACTTGAAATCAACAACCACTATTTAAACGCAAACACAAATTACATCATTTCATGACAGTGGGATGATGTAAACTAAAAAATGTAGCAATTAACTACAAGGCAAAAAACACCTTGAATAAATCTGAGCTTTGGCAGCAAGTTTTGCAGCTCGTTTTTCTTTCACTTGTTCGTAAAATTCATCTTCTGAATCTCCAGTTCCACTATCATCCATCTCAACATCTCCATCATCCGAAATAGCGCCATTTTCATCTCCAGCATCACCATCAGACTTGATTCCAGCTCCTGCCAGTACTCGGAGCTCATGCTTTCTCCGCCTCTCCCCAATATCATCTCTCTGAGGTAAATCATCATCACCTGAGACAACCTTCTCATAAAGATAAAAAAAAAATAGCATCAAAAAGTTATTATTATTATTATTTTTTTTCATAATCATAACTTGACATTTGTCAACATAAACCAACATCAAGATTATGTATTCTTCTTGGTTAAACAAAAAGATAAGGAAAAATAGGAACCATGCCAGGTTACCCTGAATCCTGATTATATGTTAATATGTTGACACAAAACAACTAGACAACTAATGTTTGGATTGCATTCTCCACAAAACTGCAACACTAATATAGCAAAACAATATCCAGATGTAAATAAAGTTAGGGGATAGATATGCAAAGCACTACTGCTTCTATCCCATTATATTTGTTGAGAATTTCCTCAAAGTCAGATGGTAGATTCCCATCAAGTTGCTTCATCTGTTAAGTGAAACCCACATTAGCCCCTATCTTACTGGAGAACCGAAACAGCAGTGTACACTTCACATAAACCACTTTTGTAATTATGCTTGTGCTTAATCAAGAGCAACAGGAAAAGCAGAACCTATATTCATAGGTAATATATTAAACTGATCTACAGGGCCCATTTTGGGATAAGCTGACGTTTGACCCAAGGGTTGTCATTTTCATATTGCCGCACATCAGTTCCAATTATAACGACCACCAACTCAGTTGTAACATTCATCCTGATCACAAATGTGGCCTTTCTTTTTGCAAATTCAATAAAAGGTAGTTCCATCAAATCGAACAAAAAATATACGTGAAGATAGCAATTAGACAATCATTGATTAACTCGTACATCAGCTTAAGAGAGCAATTACCAGAAAGGTTTAGGCATTCATGTATCATAAGTTATACCCATCTATTCAAAGAGGCAGTGAACTTAATATTGCAGTTATGAACCATATTAGTGATATGTCCATTGATCTCTGAAGGCTTTTGACTTTTATGTATGAAGAAACACTTTTAACTCATGCATCACAACTATGTACTAACAACTAACAAGTGGTTTCTGCCGTGATACTTAAAATTTCAGTGTGCTATAGGTAAACCAACAGAAACAGCATGACCAAAAGAAAAAGACCAATCAGAAACAGACAAATCCAACTACTCATGTGCAGAGTATGGTCAAGAGAAGAGTTGTTTAGAATCCAGAGAAGGGACAAAACTACCCACAATATATTCCTCCAAGATTAATTACATACAACTTATTCGCGGATCATGCATATTCCATCCTTTGGAAAGAAACATATAAAAAAATAGTAGTTGAGAGATTGAGCCAAAAGCACGCTGTATTATATGCACATATAAGATGTATGCACTTTTATTTTAATTGATACCTTAATTTCAAAAAGAAAACCATAAACAATAATTAGATTTGTATTTTTCTTTTGGTCTGAAATAAATAGATCTGTATAAGGCCAGCAACTACAAGATGCTTTTTAAATTTAGCAAAGAAAACATGCTCACTCAGGAGGAAAAGCAAGAGGGCAAGGGGGGTGGTGTCTTAAAGAGAAAAAGAAGACCTTATCCAACAAACTCTTGATCTCTATTAGGCGAGCAAGAACAGGATGATCACGAACTTGTTGGCCTTCAGACTTGAGAAGAAGGTAGAACGTTATGGCTTGACAATAGGCCAGCAGAAGAAGCTGCTTTACCTCTAAATAGCGCATCCCTCCTTCCAACATGACCTCCCCATTTTTAACCTTCATAACAAGAAAACATCAATAATGCTTGACACCAAGTTATCAACCAAATTTAGCATAACAGAAGATAAATAAAAATGATAAAAGAGGGAAAGGGCTCCATTGTTACAGGTAATCATATTATATCAAACAATAAGAAGAAACCTAAAGTTACCCAGCATTCTGCTATCCAAATATTAAATATTAAAACCATAACAACACATGTACAAGCCAAAGGACTTCTAAGTGATCCGACTGTGTATTCTTGAAGTCTTTATTGATTCATCATATATGCAAAAAATACCCAAACCGGACCATTTTATTAAAATTAGTATTTCTTTGAAAGCACTGTGGGTCGTCTATTTATTTCATCACAATTTGATGTTTTTTACAATTTGGCTAAATTTTTTTCAAAGATGATCCATGAATGAAGACTTGAAAAATCAAAGATTCGGATTGTTAAAATACAATGCGGAGGCCCCACCCTCTGCATTGTATTTTAAGAAACCAAACCTTTTGGGATCCACGGCTTTTGGGATCCACGTCTTTATTCACAGATCCTCTTTGAAATGAAATTGACAAAATTAAGACATCTCATGATGATGAAATAAATAGACGAGCATGGTACTTTGAAATGAACACGAAAATGACTATCATTTCATCAAATGGTTAAATAATTTCCAATTTGGGTATTTTTTGCAGAACTGATCAATGAACGAAGACTTGAAGAATAGACAGTCGGATCATTCAAACCAAAAAGGGTAATAACAACGAGAAGAATGATACATTTAAACCAAAAATTGATTTGTCCATGTATCCAAACCAGATTCAAAAGACTATCCTGAAAAATTTCCTCATTACTCTTCCTAACAAACCCTCCATGCCAAGATGCCAACAGAGAGAAAAGCGATTCCAGTAACTCAGAGTTCTACCACGAAAAGCATGAAATAAAAGGCAAAAGAATAAAAGGAGTTATACCTTGCTTAAAAGTGGATTAACTCTGCTTTGAAGCTCTTCAAGTGCATCATTCAGCTCTGACAACAACCCAATTAATTCTGGAGCGGAACTGTAGGGACAAATGATTAATTAAGGAGGCCAAAGTACCCTACAGTAAAACTAAAATAAATACCCAAAAAAAAAAAATCATGTGTGGATTTGCGATTAGCAACACAATAAGGCAATGAATTGAGCTTAACAACATTTTTAAAGCAGCAGAATACCACATTGCACAGAGAAATCACACTTCTCTCAGCAACCAAACAAAAAAAATATAATATGGAAGTGTCAAATATAAGCAAATATCATCGTACAAAACCTATATAAAAACCTTGATGCCTTCTCCCTGAAGACAACAATTGGCACTTCAACCTATTCCTCAATTTCTAAAACAATATTGTTCCTATTATAACCTATACTATCATGCCACCCCCATTTTATTGACATTTATTTTCTTTCTTTGTTGACATTTATTCTCTTTCTTTGTTGACATTGTAACAATAACAATTGCTGACGAGAACCGCATACAAGAGAAAATAGACAAGGAAGACAAAATAACAAAAATAGAGATCTTTAAATCAATACAATTTTTTTATAAAAAAGATCTTAATATAAAAGAAAATATAAGATAAGCATAGTAAAAAAAATTCAGATGCAGTTTTAGTAGTGGATGTGCACCTCATATTAATAGTGGATGTGCTTCCAAATTGCCCCAACTAATACTTCAAAACCTCATTTAATATATGGTAGAAGTAGTTAAAAAAAACATTAAAATAGATTATTATGACTCCATCCTCAAGTTCCGATTGATAAAACAGAAAAAAGAAGGGAAGAAACATCCTTGATTTCTTTAACGTTCTGTTCAAGCCCAACATGAATTTCTGGTCCTAGGGCGTTTCAACAAATAGCAAATACAATTCATTAAAAAAAATTCCAAACCCATTGGAGGAAGGAAACCTCCATCCCTCCTCGTGAGATGCAGACGACAGTCAATATGTGGTGATTTAAATTAATGATTAGGAAGCAAAGGAGCCTGAACACACAAGATGCATCGATCTACTGAGCAAGTCAAGTTTTGATTCCCTCAGCATCTAGAGCCAAGGAATTCTTGAGTTGTTAGATTTGTTGGGAAACTTTTCAGGTTTGATGAGAATGAGTGACTAAACAAATAATAGACCCATATACCAAACTAGATAGAGAGAAATCACGTACAATATATATATTTTTTTAATGTCTATGAAAAACCTTACCTATATAAAACATCCATTTTCTCCTCCTTTGACAAAGAATTCAAGTCTTTCTTCACCTCCTCATAAGCTGTACCCATGTCATCTGAAACTTCAATTCCCATTGGAGACTTCTTTGTACTTTTTCCCTTACGTGAAATTTCCTGCAGGAATGAAATAATTTGATGATACGCCATTTGTAAGAACATTTACATCATAATCCCCCGCCTTTGAACAGAAACTCGTAAATAATTAAGTTCACCATCACTTCCCATCACAAGGAGAGACTAAAAAAAAAACTGAAGACCCAACAAAACCAAAGAAACAACCGTATCTGCAAACCCCACCTCAAAAGTTAATTCGGCATCACTCTCATTTTGACAAATATCCTCAAGGCCAAAGTCTTCCCACATTGCTGATTTTGCCCTTTCTCTTTGCAGCCTCAGCACTTCTGCCTCTTCCTCTTTCGCAGACTCATCGCCACTTGATTGTTGCTTCATCAATCAAAAATAAAATCTAATTTAAATAAAACCCTAAATCTTATTAATATATGTACACAGGAATCCAGTTATGCACATTCGATTGAATTTGAATGGGGAATGAACAAGCATCACTGGAAAATGGTCAGCAGTAAATTTGTAATAAAATAAACATGAATAGAAGTAGGTAAGCAGACAGATATGCACAGATATATATATATATATATATATATATGGAGAGAGGGAGACGGGCAGGCAGATAGACATTTAGAACTTAAAGAGCATGCCCTCACCTCAAAATCACGATTATCAGCATCATAATATTGCTGCTTCCTTCCTCCCCATACAGGGTTTTGATCTTCCTCATCCTCTTCATCATCATCATGCATTTCATCCTCAACTCCACCAAACTTTGCCGTTAAAAACTTTTGCTGCCTAACAACTGCAGGCAATACATAAATAAGAAACAAGTTATGTAAACTCTAAACCAGGTATATAACTTGTAAGAGGAGTTGTTGGAAGTAATTACAGAAATATAACGATTTTTTCACCTAAAACACAAAAAGTGTGCAGGTAGTATAATGGAGTTGAACCAAGGGATTTTGTACAAATGATGAAGACAGAGTCATCCATACAATGAACATAGAGCAAAGAGCAAATCATGTGAATTTCATTATATCAACCCTGTCAAAGTGGTGACATAACGAAGTTCACAAAATTTCAACACACCGCTAACGCACAACAATATTAAGAACTTGTAACGTGCCTCTAAAAGGTCAAACAATCTATAGAATCAAATAATAAAAGGACACGTTTCTATTCTAACAATTCAAGAAAACTTGATTTCTTTTACGCTTGACAACTTGAAGTCGAATTGTCAAGGAACCACTGAGCTACACTTAGTAGGTCAACAAAGAACTATGGCATAAAAAAATACAACCAAATGACATTTTTATTTTAATGAGAAATCAAAAGATCTTAAACCATCTTCCTTACTTTTTGCTGCAAATCCAGTATCATGGGTGTCATCATCGTCGCCATCATTAATATTCTGTAAACAGTATTAGCAATACTAAATTAAAATCTGAAAATACAGATATCAATAGTTACTTTGAAATAAAGAGATGAAAATGAAGTTCAGAAGTTGATATCCCAATTCTATTCATAAAACTCACTGAAAAGACGAAAACAAACACTATCAAAAACATCAGAGAGTTGTATCAATCTCTGTAATAGGTCCACAGAAACTATTAAAACTTGATGAAAGGAAAAATAATAAAAAAGAAAACCTCAAAGTCAAAGACAGGTTGCTCGTTATCTTCATCGGAATCCTCAGCCTCTTCATTAATGTCCAGAGGAACAACATCTCTTTGTTTGTGAACTGCAACCAAAGAATTCGCAAAATCAATCACTTACTTTTCCAAATAAGAATATGCACAAGAAACGATTTTAAAATATAATTACGTTAAAGGGAAAGCGAACATTGAACACATCACTTTCTCTCTCCAAATTACACAGGGTGACTACAGTAAACATATAAGAATGTCCAAAAATAATTTTCAGAAAACCAACTCCGTGATCAAATAGGTACTGAACAAACACCAACTCAACTATCAGTACCAGAAAATAAATTTGACCACAAAAAAGTACAATAAACAAAATCATAGAATTAATCAACATACATGAATCAATTTCGTCGTCCATGTCATCTTCAATGACACCATTTTCATCACGGAGCTTTCTCTTATTAGGCTTTCCATCGACTTTCTTCTGACTCTTTCCTCTCTTGCCCATTTTCTTGCAACCTTCAAATAAGATATACAATCAAAGCATGAAGGTAATTAGTTGTAGGTGTTAGGTTTCCTTCTGCTAACTTGGAAAACAATGACAGTAGTAAAATTAATAGATAGAAAAATATGAACATGGGGGTGTTTGATTCACACCCAAAACTATTTTGAAAACAATTCGTCCAAATAAAGTATGAAAAGATTTTTTCTACAATCCAATCCAAATTGATTAGAATTGGTACTTTGATATTTACTAAGAGTCACTGAAGGGAAAAGAAAAAAAAAAACTCAGATCACCCCATGTAAGAACAATACTGTCCATAGTTGCCTAATTCGCTCACCCCCTACGAATTTCGATCTGGATCAAAGGTAACCAATCGCGGTGCGGTATGGAAACGAAAGATAGAACAGTACCTGATAGACGACGTCGCTGCTACAGAACAGTACCTGACCGCCGACAGCAGACGAGCAATCGAGGGCACGTGAGGGAGAGTGCTATAGCGAATGAGCCCTTTTGGACGAATGGATTCGATGTGATAAATGGATAGGGCTTTCTGGACGAATGGATTCGAAGAGCAGTTCAAGCGGACAGCCCTGCCCAGGCAAAAGGCCCCCTGGTCTCCCAAAATCAGCTCCAGCGGTGACATTCAGCCCAGGCAAGAGCTGGAGTCCATCAAGCGCGGGCAAGGCCCAAGGCAAGATAGCCCAAGCTGCTGTATGAGAGCACTGACGTCAAAGAAAAAAAATTTAATCGAAAAAAATGTTGAAAAATTACCAAAAAATTCAGAATTTTTTTTTACATACCTAGCAAATTTTTATTTATTAATCTCATACATATAAATAAAATTAATCCCATATGAATAGTAATTGCTCTTAAGTTGCCACAACAATAGGTGGAAAAGTACAAAAAAAAATTGCTTATACTATTTACATGAACAGTAACCACCTTTACTTGCCCTTGCCTTTTGCCATGATAAATGGGTGAAAATGCTCTAAGGAGGAATGTACTAGAAAATATAATAAAAGTATTGCTTTTGGTTTCAAGAATTCAGTCCCGTTCTCCTATACCCTATGGTCTAAGGAAGTTATGGTTACCTTACTTACCCTTGGATCGAAACTAAGGGTTGAGAAAAAACTAGTTTAAATATCAATATGTCATCTTTTATTTTACTTTTACTGCAGTAAAATACTATTTTAGTCATTAAAATTATTTTTTTTTAAAAAGAGTTTAATATCGGAGATGAAAAACATGAACAAAAAACTCATCCGCATGTAAGACCGTCGTCTCCGACACCAATCATCTTTCTCCTTCACGCCTAGTTAATAAGAAAACATGAACCTTTCATGAAAATACAATATAATTGCAGAAATCCAAGTCGGGTTCATGAAATGACCAAAAAAAAAAAAAAAAAACCCCAAAATTTGTTTATAAAAATTGAAGTTTTCCTAAACTGGGTTCATGAATCATTCAAATCTAACATTTATAAACAAAAAATTGATCACAAAGGCAGAGAACAACAAGAAAGTGACTTGGTTGTGGGTCCTTGAAATTCAATCACGTTAAAGTGTGAAGGCTTGATGGCTCTAGATTTGGGTCAAAAAAATTTCTTTTGTTTCTGAAAAAGTTGAATATTTGAATTTAAATTACGAGATGCAATAGATAACCAATAAGAATTAGAGAGAATCTTAAACGGCACATGTTCTTGATTTTAGTCTGCAACGCCTGAGTTGAAGGTAGTTGTGAACGACAATGGAGAAAGAGTTCTTGGCTTTATGAGAGAGAGCTAGTTTTGGGTGGAGTGATTTTGTTTTTTTTTTTAGTTTTTGTTTTTGTTTAAGTTAAATTAATATTTTGTATAAATAAAAAAGTAATAAAATAATGACATTGATATTTAAATTAGTTTTTTCTCAACCCTTAGATTAGATCCAAGGGTGAGTGATCAAAACTTCCTTGGACTAGGGTCTAGGAGGACGTGACTCTTCAAGAATTGCGAAAGAAGAAGGAAATTCATTGTTCTTTCAATACATTGAACAAATAAAATACATAACTAATTGAATAAATAAAAAACCACTTATTCATAAAATAATAAGTTCATAATTAAAATTTGCATGTAGAAACAAAACTTAAAGTTTTTTGTTGAAACTTCAAAACAAACAAAACGGAAATTGAAAATACTTAAAATTAAAAATAGCAACTTTAGCCAAATGGTAATTTCCCCTTCACTTTTGCACTAGTCCTTGTGCTTGAGCTCCCTCCAAGAGAAGAGTGGCTGGGCATAGAGGACGGTGAGGATGATGCTTGGTTGTGAACACCTGCATAATTGCCCTCCAACCATTTCCATCTCATTTCCTCCAATTTCTGAACAGAGTCATCTAAAAAAAGGATTTTGGATCATTATCCTATTTCTTGAAAGGCCCATCTTTGTAGCTCTCACTGAAATGTGGTTGGAGACAGATATTAGAATGGATATAAACCAATTGACCAGCTTTTGCAAAATTCAGCATGTTTCTCTTAACATTACGGATGTAAGAATATGTGTTCCAAATTCTTTCCAGCCGATGAACTTGATATCGGTTGAGCCAATTATTATTTGTGTTAATATTTATTTATTTAAGATAAAAAAAAATTAAAAAATATTGAATTGGTTGTAAATGCATGAGTTGGTGGATGACCACCATACCTTTTAGCATTCCACCATTTCTAATTCTATGTAACCAATACCCTAAATATTTGTAGTTAGTGCTTGTAACTTATTCATATGTTGTAAATGTAGTACTTAATCTCCTATCTTGTAACCCTATAAATATGTGGCTCTACCATAGATGAAATGATGAGACATACAAGTTTAGAGAATTATTTCTATTGTCTTCCTCTACTCCTCATTTCTCTGTACAAATTCCCTTGGTTATATAACACGTTATCAGCACGAGGCTCTAACCACTTGATATTTTGTTTTTTCATTTTAGAAATAGAATAGTTTCCTCTTATATATTGCAAGTACGAAACTCTGGTTACATAGACTTTGACAAATGGAAAAGAAGTGCATCAACAAAAGGAAGTTGAACAAGAAGATTCCAAACAAATAAGAATTATTTTATTTTTATTTTCATTTACATATCTAGTGCATGTGAAATTTGATATTTTACAAAGAAATTTGCATTTCCATTATACATGTCTATCTTGTCTATCTACCTACAAGATTTCAACTGTATTTTTTTATTTGTCAGAAATCCAAGATGAATAAGGAGCAAAGATCAATATCAACGTGGGTTATAAGAAGATAACAAAGACTTAAATTGATAAGTACTTGAACTTAGCATTTGAAGATAAAACAGAAGAAGGTCCTATGGATGTAACAAGATTGATAATCCTACAACTCTTCATGACTAATCTCTTTTGCAACTCTGGTTATACACTCGCTTGGACATATACAACTACAATAGACACCTTAGAAGAGATGGGGAAATATAATTGGGCTCAAAGAGTTTTGGACTACATGTATTTTGGATTAGAATAGGCAAAGAAGAACAAGAAGGTCAAAAAAAAGGAGCCAAGCTTGAGTGGCTGCCTAATCCTAATACTGGTAAGAACACAAATCTCCAAACTACAAATTCGTAGCATTACTCTAGTGATATGAATTGACACGTGATATTGCCACACAAAAAAAATGCAGTATTGGCTGTGTCAAAGATCTAACATGCTCACTCCAATTCTTGGAAGAGAACAAATGACACTAGGGTCTGTCAAATGGAGTCTTCAACAACTAAGTGCGAAGCTTCATCATCTAAAGAACAACCAGATAAAGGTACTCTTTGCTTTCAAATAATCTGCAGCTGATATGACAACATTGTTAATAACATGTCATAGACATACATTCTTAATACCATGTCATAGAAGTAAACTATTAATAACATGTCATAGGAGTACACTCTTAATACCATGTCATAGAAGTAAACTCTTAATATTAACTCTACTTAACAAACATATAAAAAGTACTAAAGTTCAAGAGGATGATGATGCTGCTGAAGACGTGAATGAAGAGCATGATGATGTTGCTGAAGAAGAAAATGAAGAGGAGGATGATGCCTTTGTTGTCACACTTAAAAATTGGGAAAGATAACTGTGGGGGCGATTTCTTCCCACGAGAATATTCAATTGAAAGATTTCCCTTTCTTCTTCGTTGCCTCTTTCTCCCTGCAAAATATATCGAAATAAGAGGACCACACCCTGGGGGTGTTGGCCAAAGGCCCTCCGATGCCTAAGTTAGTTAAATTGATTTAGGGAAATCAATAGCTAAATAGGGTATGAAGATATATATGTAAGGTGTAAACCGGGTGGCCGGAGCCTTGTGTGAAAGGGAGAGAGAGTATGGCGGCTAGGGTTTGTGAGGGATAATCTCTGCAGAGTTTCAGTAGGAATTTAGACATACCTCAACCCTTGTGTGTAGCCATCTATTTATAGGGGCCTCGGAGGCTAGGGTTTCAGAGGAATAATTCCGTAGATGGAAATGAATTATTCCTCCCCGATTTGGCGAGATTGGCTTAATTAGGGATTTGATTTATTTGATTTAAATCAAATCCCTAATTAAGGTACTAATCAAATCAATCCCAATTAAATCAGGTAACTCCCAATTAAATTGAGTAACCCTCGATTAAATTGAGTAACTCCCAATTAGGTCAAATAATCCCCAAATGGAAGGAAATATTTGACCTAGGGTTTTGATTTAATTTGGTTCCCAGAATAACCTATAATGATCCAATATTTATATTTGAAAACTGAATTAAGGGTGTACAAACACATATATATACTTGTGTATAAATTTGTTAATCTTATTTTTTTGTTCCTTTCTAACATTTCCTTTCTAATATTGTGGAAAACATAACACTGTTATTATCTAGTGTTTGTACCATATCTGACCCTCCACTCATTCAGTGACACGTGGATTAAAGAAACTCCCAAATTGCCCAAGGCTGCGAAGAAACGGCATCGGCTACCAATGACATTGTCCAAGGCAGCGAACGGTCGCTACCGCCTAAGTGAGTCTACAATCGGTACCTGATCGGTTCATAATTGTATATCATTTTGTACCCTTCTAGCTTATGATTTGGTTATGTTATTGAGTTAAACTTGTGCTTTTAATCCATTTTCTGTTTTGATAAGTCCATAATTTCATACACTTGCTTGCCTTCTTTACTTAGTGATTTTGCTTAGTTTCTCTTTATTTTTGAGTCACTTACCTCTGTTTGTGTGTTTTGTAGGTTAAGATAGCAAGAAATCACATTTGATGCAATCCATGCATGTTAAGGGCTGATTGGCAAAGAGCAAGAGCTTAAAGACAAAACCAAAGTTGGGCCACACTTCTTG